AGGCCGGTTACAGCCTATCAGAACTAAAGGAGGGGTATTTAGGCCCAGTTCTCAGCCTGCTCAGTGCCCTGTCGTGGTTTCCCTTGTGGTTGTCTGAGAGCGCGTTCCTGTTTATAGTTTTCTACCTGGTTTTGACTTTGGCTTTGTTTATTGACTTCTCTATATTCTGGTATCCTGACTCCTGGCTTTCCTCATCGCTGTGTCCCTTTCTGTGTTCCCTGACCTCGGCTAGTATTTTTGACTATTCTTTGTACGTTAAATCCGGCCATTCTAAGGACCGGTAATACGTTACTTATTTGTCATCCGTGCTGTACAGTTCTACGTGCTGGATCAAACAGTAATCCTGACACTCTGCTCTTCTTCAGCAGGAGAACCCGGGTTGCTCTATTGCTCAACTGATGCTCTCTGCCAGTTTCACCAGATATTGTCAAACCATACTAAAACATTTGATATCTTACTGCGGGTTGAAACCTGGATCCATAACTATAACTGAGTTAATTGACCATTTACCGGATCAAAGTATGTAATCAAATATTTATTTATCAGCAAACAAAAAAAAACACACTAACCGTTTTCAAACTGGCCGAACTAAGAGAAGTTTTCCAACTCAACTGTAGTTCAGTAAAATGAGCCATATTTGACATTTTGATGTTAAATTAATATACCTTATAAATCTATTACTTTTCCACTTCTCTGTTTTTTGATTGAAAATAATCTTATGAATGATAGCCTTTGCTTAGTAAATCTGGATGTTTCTATCAGAAACTGACTACAAGGATGTGATATTTTTGAGTTCGGAATAAACTGATTCAGGTCACGTGATGTGCTATAGTTAATCATCTCCAGGAGAAATGAGAACGTGTTTCAGTAATAACTAGGTAAACCAGTTGAAGTTGCTTGTCTTTGAATCTTCATTCCTATCTAGTCCAGTGACTAACGAATGCACTGCATTAATCATAACTTGAAAGGTGAGGACACTGAACACATGGCGTAGGATGAGGTAATTGATAATGGGTTATTTCATTTGGACCTCACAATATTATAGAGTTAATTTTAGTGCAGACTTATTGCTGTTTTTGTTGTTGTAACAAAATCGAGAATGATTCTTGTGCTTCAGATAGGGAATGGGCAAAACAGATGGAATAAAAATAGATGGAATACAAGGATTTTATCTACTGTCGACATTCATTTTTCTAACATGTAGTTTATCATCAGAATGTTTTATCTTTCTAACCAATGGAAAAGGCAATTATTATTATTATTATTGTTATTTGTATTATTGGCATTTATATAGTGCCAACTTATTTCACAGAATAGGAATATTTGACAAGTATTCCTATACAGAATATAGCAAGAGGTGAAGAAGTCCCTGTTCAAATAAGCTTACAGTCTGTAAAAAGACGGATGTTAACCTTTATTTATATGCTTTATTAAACTGAAGCTTACATTGTATTCTTTATCCTGCATAAGGAATTTAAACATACTCAAATTGATATACAGTTCGTTTAACCCCTTAAGGACACATGACATGTGTGACATGTCATGATTCCCTTTTATTCCAGAAGTTTGGTCCTTAAGCGGTTAAACACCAAATGTCTCTACAAAGACGAGCTGTGAGCTGTGTATCCATTTTTTGTATCACTCAGCCTTGTTACAATGCAGCCGCCCATCCCATGTGTTCCCTATTAAGGGTTAATAATGCATAGGGGTGTATATAAAAAATACCCCTTTCTGTGTCATTAGAGATCTTTGCCAGAAGCTCAAGGTGAATGGTTAGAGTTAAGACCCACCTGGGGGGGTATGCCTTGACATTGGCAGGTGGGCTTATCCTCTCATGGCCATTGGAGGTAACTAAAAAACCCTCAATTTGTTTAAAAATACAGAGGGATTAAGGAGAGAGCGCAGGTAAGATGTTTTTCTTTGGTTTTTACTATATATTGGGGCTGATGTGTACTGTAGTCATTGCTGCCGCCCAGTGATGGGAGTAAGCGCAGGACTTTTCTTTCTGCATTTACATCTCATATATATGTGATAGTTTTTATCCAGTTAGTCAGGGGCATGGCTAGAGTCAAAATATAACTGGCACTTGAGCACCAAAGATTTGGTGACCCTCACCCCTGGCCCTCCTCAAAACTCCACCCCTTAAAACCCACAAGGAATAACTCCTGACACACTAACAGACAGATACAGACAAAGATACAGATGGACATGCCCAGATAGACACGTCTAAACCGTTCATTATAATTGAAAGAAGAACTAAAAAATGAAAGACAAAATAGCTGGATTGGAAAAACATTCCCAAATCCACTATGGTCACAGTTTGGATATTTTATTCTGAATTTTGCAATTTGGTTTTCAGTTCATTATAATTAGCTGTATATTAGCTGTTATTCTTCCAGTTTGGATAATTTGTTATACAATGTAAACATTTTTTTTCATTTCTCCACAATTCTCAGTTCAATGAATAAATACATGTACATGAGTATATTTCCTGAGTGTGCTAATACAGATTAAGGAACAGCGCACTCATAAAATACGTTTGTAAATTCTATAATGCTACTTAAAATCACCTATCTCAGCAAACACAAATGGGGATTCAGTTCCATCATATGGCCATATCGTGTTAAGCCCACCACTATTTCAGAGTACCTCAATATCGGTGGGTTCTACACTAATTCCAAAAGTGGGAATAAATGAATTGGTGCTAGCGCTAAATAAGCTATATATACATATAATCTGTTTGTAAGAGCATTGTGAGTAAATATAATGCAAAATTAATGTGATAAATGCAATTTAAAAAATTCAGTGTCAAAACTAAACAGTTAAAGTGATGGTACTTTTATGCATACACTCACAATGCAAATTATATATCTGCTGCTATTAAAATTATAATTAAAGTGACATTACTATCCAAAACCTCATCAAATATATACCTGTGGTCACCTCCAAGCTGAAGCTGTGCATGGTGCTTGAGTGTTTGTATAGTCACATTGAGTGTAGTTGCGGTATATGTGAATTCAAGAACATGTATGAGCTTGCAAGTTTAGAAGAGATTATATTTATAGGAATGTCGCTGTGTCTATGTGAATACTGGTGTGTTTTATTACATACAGGGAGTGCAGAATTATTAGGCAAATGAGTATTTTGACCACATCATCCTCTTTATGCATGTTGTCTTACTCCAAGCTGTATAGGCTCGAAAGCCTACTACCAATTAAGCATATTAGGTGATGTGCATCTCTGTAATGAGAAGGGGTGTGGTCTAATGACATCAACACCCTATATCAGGTGTGCATAATTATTAGGCAACTTCCTTTCCTTTGGCAAAATGGGTCCAAAGAAGGACTTGACAGGCTCAGAAAAGTCAAAAATAGTGAGATATCTTGCAGAGGGATGCAGCACTCTTAAAATTGCAAAGCTTCTGAAGCGTGATCATCGAACAATCAAGCGTTTCATTCAAAATAGTCAACAGGGTCGCAAGAAGCGTGTGGAAAAACCAAGGCGCAAAATAACTGCCCATGAACTGAGAAAAGTCAAGCGTGCAGCTGCCACGATGCCACTTGCCACCAGTTTGGCCATATTTCAGAGCTGCAACATCACTGGAGTGCCCAAAAGCACAAGGTGTGCAATACTCAGAGACATGGCCAAGGTAAGAAAGGCTGAAAGACGACCACCACTGAACAAGACACACAAGCTGAAACGTCAAGACTGGGCCAAGAAATATCTCAAGACTGATTTTTCTAAGGTTTTATGGACTGATGAAATGAGAGTGAGTCTTGATGGGCCAGATGGATGGGCCCGTGGCTGGATTGGTAAAGGGCAGAGAGCTCCAGTCCGACTCAGACGCCAGCAAGGTGGAGGTGGAGTACTGGTTTGGGCTGGTATCATCAAAGATGAGCTTGTGGGGCCTTTTCGGGTTGAGGATGGAGTCAAGCTCAACTCCCAGTCCTACTGCCAGTTCCTGGAAGACACCTTCTTCAAGCAGTGGTACAGGAAGAAGTCTGCATCCTTCAAGAAAAACATGATTTTCATGCAGGACAATGCTCCATCACACGCGTCCAAGTACTCCACAGCGTGGCTGGCAAGAAAGGGTATAAAAGAAGAAAATCTAATGACATGGCCTCCTTGTTCACCTGATCTGAACCCCATTGAGAACCTGTGGTCCATCATCAAATGTGAGATTTACAAGGAGGGAAAACAGTACACCTCTCTGAACAGTGTCTGGGAGGCTGTGGTTGCTGCTGCACGCAATGTTGATGGTGAACAGATCAAAACACTGACAGAATCCATGGATGGCAGGCTTTTGAGTGTCCTTGCAAAGAAAGGTGGCTATATTGGTCACTGATTTGTTTTTGTTTTGTTTTTGAATGTCAGAAATGTATATTTGTGAATGTTGAGATGTTATATTGGTTTCACTGGTAATAATAAATAATTGAAATGGGTATATATTTGTTTTTTGTTAAGTTGCCTAATAATTATGCACAGTAATAGTCACCTGCACACACAGATATCCCCCTAACATAGCTAAAACTAAAAACAAACTAAAAACTACTTCCAAAAATATTCAGCTTTGATATTAATGAGTTTTTTGGGTTCATTGAGAACATGGTTGTTGTTCAATAATAAAATTAATCCTCAAAAATACAACTTGCCTAATAATTCTGCACTCCCTGTACATGCCAATGTGTGTGTAAATGCTGCATTGTCTTTGTGAGGCATGCCAATGTTTGTGTGAATGCAGAGTTGTGAATACATTGATTGAAAGCCACTTCTTCCGACACAGGTGTATTTGTAATGGAGCTTCTTTATATTTGTTAGTAAGCTCCAACAAATACAAGCATATGTAAAGAAGTTTGATAGCATATATAGAGATATAGGTAACCGGCATGTTTATGTAAATATCGTTTCTTTTCTTTTTTTATATTAGCCACGTAACCTGCCTCCATCATGTGGATAACTATACTGTTGGTAGTGTTCGTGATGCTGATATTCATGTACAGATGGCACAGACAGAGCCAGGTACTGCAGAATCTCACAGATAAATATGTGTTCATCACTGGATGTGATTCTGGATTTGGGAATCTCCTGGCGAAGCAGCTGGAACGGCGTGGCATGCTAGTACTGGCAGCTTGTATGACAGAGAAAGGGTCAGAGGAGCTGAAGAAGGAGACATCCCGCAGACTGCAGACTGTAATCTTAGATGTCACAGATAGCCAGAGTGTAAGCTCTGTTGCCAAATGGGTTACTCATACGGTTGGTGACAAAGGTCAGGCACTGTACTATTTCTATGTTTAAATTTCAAGTCTCTGTAAATATACTATATTTCATTGTAATTAAACACTTTGCTAACAGCTCGTACATCCTGAGAATGTAACTTACACCTAAACCATTTATGATTCTAAATTCTTTTTCCCTAAACAGATTTTTCATGTCCACAATTATTTAGAGTAACTCACATTTTCCATGAATCATGTGAACATGTACACATACTTCTGCCTTTATATTTCCCAGCAGAACACTGGCTGAAATGTAAGACTTCTCACTGAACATCTTTTATTTTAGGGCTGTGGGGTTTGGTGAATAACGCAGGGACTGGAATGCCTGGTTGTCCCAATGAATGGCTAAATAAACAAGATTTTACCAAAGTGTTGGATGTCAACTTACTTGGGACAATTGATGTGACCCTCCAGTTCCTGCCACTAATCCGAAAATCGCAGGGGCGCATTATTAATGTTTCCAGTATTGTAGGAAGGGTGACAATCTGTGGGGGAGGCTACTGCATCTCAAAATTTGGCGTGGAGGCCTTTTCTGATAGCCTAAGGTAAGAAATAGTAACTTTTAAAAACATATTTAATTTCTGAACAAAGCTTTCTATATTAGCTTGACTATATGAGTGATTGATGTATTCTTCAGTATATGCAATGTACATGCTGTAGTGTCATGTTTTCAGCATTAGTTAACAGGGAGGTATGCAAGTAATCTCTTACAGCCAGATTAGGTTGGTCGGTCAAAAATATCTTTAAATTATATCAGGCTGGTCAATGTACCCTAAAAAATAATGCAGTGGTATGAAAGATGTGTATCACAGACTTGATCTGAGATC